AAGGTCAATGCTTGGACCTGATAATCTTAGAGGTCTTTTCCAACCTAAATGATTCTACAGTTCTAAAAGAAACTCCTCAATATGTAGATTCTTGCCTCACAAAAAAAATAACCCAAACCCCAAAACATAAACAGCCTTCAGAAGCAGTCAATATATACTACTGTATTTTCACTTTCTTAAGGAAAAAAAAATATTAAAAAGGTATTCTGAATGCAATGCTTAAATATCACCACCACATTATTTCCCCAGGAGGATCAGGGTGTGATTGGTACCATCCCACCAGTTTAAAAAGTTATCAGCCTTCACTACTACTGGCTGAAATGAAAGACACAACAGGCTTTAAAATATTGCTATGTTATCCTAAACAAGCTCAAAGAAACATCAGTGTTAGTGAAGTTGCTCAGTCCCTCACAGTATTCCACATTCCCAAAACCATGGAAGCCATGGTAAGGTTTCTTCTTTGCCTCTCTGTGGCACAAAAATCCAGACTTCGTCTTTTATTTGAAGCAAAAGCCAAGTGTCTCAGAAGTTTTACTGCTGACTGTAAATTACACAAATCAGCCACATCCTTCAGAAAGCAAGGTCAGGATTTGAGCCCCTGTCGCTACCTCTCTCACTTGTCAGAACTGGGTAGCTGCAGAAAACAAAGCAAAAAGAGGGTTTTCTGAAAACCAGGCACCCTAGCACAGGGGCTCAATCCTCACACGAAGCAAGGAGGACAGAGGGCACATACAAGACTACATTTTCTACATACATCTTGAACTGTTTAAGCAAAAAGACCCAATTTTTCATACAACACCTTCTAAAAGTCTAATGGCACGTCAGCCTGGAAAGCAAGGATTTGACAGGAGCATTTAGCTCTCTTTCTGAGCTGGAAGCAACTGCTGCATTTTGTCCAAGACTCTAAAGCACTTGCATGGTGCTAGCACCCCAGCAAAGAATCTCTGAATTACGATTTCAGGAAGTTAAACTTAAAACCTTACTTCTGCTTGTAGAGGTGTACTGTTACAGACATATCTTTTAGCTGTCCCCTTCCTCCCAACTACAAAAACCCTTTGTGGGGCACGCACGAAAGCAATATTCATTCAAAGGAGGGAAAGCTAGAGGTGCCAAGATTGATGAGAGTCACCTATGCGTTATCCTCCCACATACACTGGAAGGAAAAACCAAGGTACACCTCTACACTGAGTGATCTGCCATGCCTCTTTTCAGCACTGCATCGTGCAGACCCTGTCAGCAGCAGGACAGGGAAGCTGCCAGCACAGAGATGCTCTGGGGGTTCAACAACGGGCAAGCAGAAGCACAGTGAGAGACAGAATCTTCTGGGGAAGAGGGAACAGGTTACTACAGATGTAGCCAGCTACAGCTCAGGAAGGACACACGCAGTTCTGCATTAGTTTTCAGATATATAAAACACCATAAAGGAGTCTAAGCTCAGTGCTTCCCTTCCCCTACCTATTTTTCCCCTGATTTTTAAAATCCAGGAGCTACAACTGACCACTGCAACATTATCCCAAACCTGCCATAACTAAACCATAACTAGTTGTACGTTATCAACCATTTTACAAAAGCAGCTGCATTTTGCCAAGTCTTACTTCAAAAAAGGAAGAAGCACGAAGTATATCTGTACTCTTTAAGACAGAAAAAAACACCAAAATACTTGGAGACTGAAACTAGTGATTTCTGTTCCCTAGTTTGGATTCCAATACTCTGTCCTGTCACCTCTGAAATGACTTTTTAAATAATGTGGATGGACTATGAACACACCAGTTGACTACTCACTGAAGGGCATGGTTTGGTTTGTTAAAGGCTTGGATTTTAGCTAACACTAGTTACAAAGTTTTCAACAGAACAATCCATGCTAATAAGAAAGAAATTGCTCCATTAGGAGATGACATAAATGGATGCCTGTGCTCCGTTTCTTCACTGACTGCTTCTTGGGCCCCATTTGTGTCAAAACTGCAAGGGAGGGCACGAAGGCAGGACCATAAACTCTACTGAACTCACTATGTATTTTAGAAAAGTGAACTCACATGCCAACATCTAGTTTCAGGATACACAAGGATTATGCAATCACAATCCCACTGGCTTGCTGGGAGGATTCGGCAAGATAACTACAAATTACTTAGAGGGCTAGTGTCAAAAGGACCTCTGTACTTATTTAGCCTCTGCTCTAGATTACTGACCCACTTATGAAGAGCTAAGCACCCCCGCCGTGCGATGCCAACACCCACTCCATCTGTTTGCTTCTGCTTTCTCAGAACCTCTATTAGTCTGCATAAGAAGTTGTGTTAATTACCACACGAGCAGCTTTTGCACCGTACACATGGTACCAGCCCCGCTCAGCGTGTAGTCACCTTGACAAACAGCTCAGAAACAGAACCACCCAAATTGAAGCAGGATTATCAATGACAAAGTATATGCAGATTTCTGAAGAGGCAATTTAAGTTTTGTCCAAGCTGCTCTCACTTTTGAGAAAAGCTTGTAGGTGTTTCGCTGCTTTAGGTTTCAGTGATGAAAATGTATACTACTGTATCAAACTCTCTGTAAGTCTCCAAGGAGACCAGAAACATTTGAAAGCACAACAGAAACTTCTGCTGAGGGAATACTGCAACAGTGGAAAACAAGCATCCCACAATACTTGTCACTATCTCAGTTACAGTATTAGTAGGCAAATCTAAAGCTAGGTAAAAAAAAAAAAAAAAAAAAAAAAAAACCCCCACACACACAACAAAAAAAAGAAAAAAAAAAAAAAAAAAAAAAAAAAATCCCCCACCACACAAAACCAAACAAAAACCCTCCCCAAGCAGAACATTTGGACAGTTAGCCCAGCTGTCAAATCAAAACTACATCTTAGCACCTCAAACTTCTTGCTGACTAGGAAGCAAAAAAAAGTTTCAATTCAGCATTTTATTATTTATCCCTGCTGACCTGCAGATCTTAAAGACATTCATTAAAGAGGGTCTAAAGCAGCAGTTTCATTAACTTACTAAACCCAAGAACAAGAATTGCCAGAAGACATTACAGTTCTGAGTTGACATTTGTCCTTTCTTGGGAACCCAGACTACTGCTGTCAAAGTGAAATACTATCAACAGTCTAAAAGCCAACTATGAAACTCAAGAATTCTGTGTAGTGCTGCTGGCAACTATACCACCTTACCCTTTAACACCAAAGCCATTTCTTAGTTTAAAATTAAACCTTATCTAACAGCCAACATCACTTGAAGAGCTACCAGCTTACTCCTACAGTAGTCAAAAGAAGTAAAACCCAGGTCCAGTGCTTTTCACAGCTGACTCAAGGATAGATGAGAACAGTATGTCACAGCCCTGCAAGAACTGCTGATAATAACATGAAGGCTACAAAGAACAGAGCTTTGTGTTGAGTTTCAAAGAACTATGTACCATCATGTCTTCTTCAACACAAAAGGTCATGTAAGAAAGAGGACATCCTCAAAGCTGACTAGAAAAACAATGAAATATCAGCACACTGTGTTCCATCTTCTAGCAACACCTTCAAGATTAAATTGAAATAACAATTCTTCTGAAGCGGGAGTATTTACTGCCCCAGTACCGCTGCAGGAGAGCACTAGGAAGGCTCTCTAGGAGCTCTACAAAAGCTCTAAAAATTAGATACACATTTTATATCAAGTGAATCTCTGTACAGTGTACGTAGCTTTTGTCATGACATGCCTTCCAATTAAACACTTTGTCTTTGTCGAGATTACTCTATACACAAGTCCTTACCACGTGTCAAGCCAAGAGATGTACATCCCCCTACAGATTCCAACCTTAGTCTACCAATATGCACTAAGACAAAAAAAGCTCTAATATTTTATTTCTGACTCTTTTCCAGCTGGTCAAAGGAAGAAAGGAGAATGGAAACCCAGGGAATTTTGGGACTGCTCTAGGGAAGAAAATGTGAGCAGAGGGCAGCATTAGAAACAAAAGGTGAACAGAAAAGAGAACAGAACTGAAGCAGTCATTCATTTGGAGCATACTCGTGATTTTCCCAGAAAGCTGTGTCAAATCTAAAAGAGAATGCTAAAACCATTATCAGATAGCAGCTACAATACATTTGATACATGGAAATCACTACTGACACCAGTCAAATCTGTTTTGCACTATGATTAATACAGTTTAAATGTAGCTGGGATGAATGTGCTCATACACAAATTAACACCATGGACCAGATGCAGTTTCTCTCCTCCAGAAATGATTTTTAAGTGTGGAGGGGTTCAGTGCCCAAAATACAGGCACCTTAGTGGGATTTCTGTACAAGATGAACCAAGAGCAGACTGCATTATACTTACAAACATAACCCTTGCCTCTCGCACAGCAGTTGCTATGAATTAATTGAGAAAGTCAAAGGGGTAGAATGCAAGTCGTTCACCTAAATATACATACACATCAGGAGCAGAAGAGCAGTACTAGGAATACTCCCAAGTTATTAAAGCACTTTCATTAACCAACAGGAAATAATAATTGCAATAAATAAATTGGTCGTCAGACAATCTGCCTCCAAAGACAAAATTTCTCTCCAAAAGGGAGAATGGAAGCAGCTTGTAAAATTTAAGTGAAAATACCTAATTCAACTGAAAATAATTAGATGACTGAAGTGTTGACCAAGGAAAAACTAGCCTTTTTTTTAAAAAAAAAGTAGTAGTGGAAGTGTAGGTTCAAGTATGGCCCTCAAATACACATGGGGTTACTAAATAAAAGCATAAGGCAGTGCTACAAACTAGGAGCTGTGCTAGGCACCACCAGAATACCTAAAAATTGGAATCTAGGTAGTAGTGAAAATCAAAATGTAAAGATATTATTAGAAATTTTGACCTTACAAAGCATGTGATGCAACTGTAAGTAAGCACTACCTAAAACCAAACTAGGTTTTAAAGAATCAAAAGCATGCAACTGATTTTTCAGTTCACAGGATAGCCTGAACATCCATTTAGTCATTTTTTTTAAGTGGTTAGAGCAAGGCCAAACACAGCAGCACTTACCTTGGTATCGTCACACATTTTGTGTTGCAATTCTGAGTGGTAATTGCCTTCTCCAGCTCATCCAGCTGTCCTGTTTTCTTTAGCTTCTTGACCAAGCTTTTCACTGCTTTTTCACACCACTTTTCCTCCTGACCATTCTGCTCACCACCACCAGCCCCTCCAGAGCCACCAGCAGATTTTTTCCACCCCAGAAGTCTCTTCACAACTGGTGGAGTGAATGGCAATATGGATGACATGACTTTCACCGGACAGAGCACTCGGCAAGCAATAAATTAGAGATTCTTGTCTGACCCCTAAAAACACAAACCAAAATACACACATTAGCACTGAGGTTTCACACGAAACAAGTACCTCGCTGAGGACGTTTCATTACCAAAATGCCACAGGACACTGCCTCCTAAAAAGACTCAGATAACAGCTCAGAAGTAATCTCCAACATGGTTAGGTTCTTCATCAGTAAAGATAAAATGTAAGTTTGCTGCACACTCTTTAACAGCAAACACAGACTAAGGTTACTGTTGGATTAGATGTTTAATTCTTCCTCAAGGCTTTCCTAGATAAAGACAACAGCAGAAAACACAGAAATTAACTTGAGCCTAGCTTTGTACCTGGGCTGGCTGGTTTTAGTCCTTCATTGAAATTTCCCACAAATGACTGACAAATTGCATACACATATATGCAAGTTCTGCTCATCTCCAAATTAATATAGCAAGCAAAATTGTGTTTGGAACGCCATCTAGTCATTATGGCTTGACAGAAGTCTTCCAACAACCATCCATTTCACAAGCCTTTTCTCATTTTGTTTGTCATGTTTTAAATAACTACCAAATTTTTGTTCCACTGGGGACACCAACTTGAAATTCACTCAGAAGTTCACTAATAAGTTTATTCCCATATTTCAGTCTGGAGTTCAATGGCCTACAGATAATGAATCTTCCCAACCAGTGGTACTTAAAATCATCAAGTCTTTCAAAACTCATTAAAGGATATTTAAAATCTTAGTTTGCAGGCACCCAAGTAGTAGAACTGTTTTCAATTTTCATAGCCTTTCATTCAATATCAAGTGCCTGATCAGGATGCTTGTATAAATTGAAAGATTAGAAGAGATGCATAAGGGGGCATGTTTAGCATTCACTCCAAGTAATTTAAAAGATAAATTATATTCATTACAAAACAAACAAACAAACAAACAACAACTTGGTTTTGTGGCTTCTATTAGGTTAGTTTTAGGTATAAAAACATCAAGCCCCAAATCAACCATATTTTCTTCAGGCACACAGCTGAAATTGCTTAGAAACTGCTTGAGGACATAACAGCTCTATGGACAGAAGTATAGCATTGAAGTCAAGCCCAATCTTATTTCCAGGCAGCAAACGGGTATTTGCACTCCAGAAAGTTGATGTGGGGCTTGATGTTTTTATACCTAAAAATTTCACCATACTGTAAATCCCCACCCACACAGCAGCGTGGTTGATTTGGGATACTCCAGGCTAATTTATGCGCTGTCATATTTTTGCGGTTTCACTGAAGACCACAATTCAAACATTAAATTATATTCTACAGGTAACTTTAAATCATAACTTTTCCACTTCCACAAAACAGAACATTCAGGTCGAACGATGTTTCAGTTTCAGCTACACTATACTGCCACAGACCAGCTTCTAAAGAGCACCTAAAAATATGACCAAATCAAAAATCGAAGTTTTCTGGGATCAAAGAGACAAAAGGTTCCAGTTAACAGGGTCTGAAGATTAACACTGGTAACTTTATGCAAGTCATTCAAAATGCTCTCTTCTAAATCCGAGAATCCCAGAATGGTTTGGGTTCGAAGGGACCTTTAAGGGTCATCTAGACCAATCCCCCTGCAGGGAGCAGGGACATCCCCAACTACAGCAGGTTGCTCCAGGCTAACCTCACCTGGGATGGTTCCAGGGATGGGGCAGGGACCACCTCTCTGGGCAACCTGGCCAGGGGCTCACCACCCTCAGTGTCAAACATTTCTTTCTTGTATGTAGTCTGAATCTCCCTCTTTCAGTGTAAAACCATCAGCTCTTGTCCTATCAGTAGATGCCATGCTAAAAAACTCCATTCATTTTCACACAAGACTATAACACAAAAAGAACTTCTATTCTTCACCATTGTGTTAACTTACTACAAAACTTACAGTAATAATAGAGTAATAAATTACTACAGAATCAGGGTAGTTTCACAGGGAGGCAAGCCAACTCGGCCTCCTGACAGAGGAAGCTGTTGTCTCCTCCTTTTCTTTCCCCTGGCTTCACTACCACCTCAGCACCAGTACTGACACACCTTTCCACAAAGACTCAGCAAGGTAACCAAGGAAAAACTGATCAAGTTGGGGTTTTTATTTGGTTTTGAGTTAATTCTCTTTCAGGTTAAGAAGCTGCACTGGCTCACAGTACTCTAAGTGCTCAAAGCAACGTCAAGTGAGTTACAGGAGAGTGTACAGAGGACTCCAGCCCCAGCCTTCAACAGTGGTGTTGGCGTTGACTGTGTCGCTGGAAACACGACCTCCACACATACTTTCATTTAGATAATTTATTGTGGTGGCAAAGCCAAATAAAAAAGCCCTTCTCCCTTTCCATGTGTCTGGAAGAGTTCTCAGGCCTAGGAGTGAAATACATTAGACTCCTAACCCAGCACACTTGAGTAGCTCCAGAGATGGAGCAGGAGGGTTGCTGTTTCAGGAAATGTGCACTAGGTTTCTGAAAGAGGGAACAGCAGTCACTTGGGGCTTTATAAAAAGACTGCAACTTCTGAGCAAGGCCAACATTAGATGTTTCAACGGCATACTCAAGAAATTCAAAAAGATCAAACCAAAGAGGATAGCTTCTTTTGCTTCAAAGAGCACATTTTAAACAATAGTAATTGATGGTGTGATATCAGAACATCAAATGCTGACAGATAAGGCAACCGAGCACCACCATCATTGCTTATCCACACACCAACTCTTCTCCCATTTAGGGAGCTGACTGACACACAATAAACGTATTTCCTGCTCTTTAGCTCCAAATTTGACAGTTTTCAGCGCCAAAGAATACCCCTTGGATTGCCAGTCTTATAAAACACACACTTCAGTAGGGTTTCATTTACCAGCAAGGCAAATTGTCTATTCTTCCAAACCCTCTAAACGTTCTCTGCGCTTTTATCTGATTTTTCAGCACTACAATGTGTCCAATTTTGCAGTATGCTCTCCCTTAAGCTGGTAACACTGATCTACATATCATTTTCTGTATTCTCTGGTGGTTTTTTTTAAAAAAAAAAAAACAAACAAGATTTGCCTTTCTGCTTCAAATACATATTAGGTGATTTAAGTCTTGCAGCAGAAACCCAAACATTTCAGTTTTCTGAATTCTCCCACTATTTTAACATATACAGAAGAAAACAATTTTTTTTTCTTTTCTCATTTCCTAAACAGTGTAAGCTCAGACCTAACTAACCAGAAATTTCCAGATACAACACTTAATTTTGACCAGCTCCCTTACAGATGTGTGCTCATCCAGCTTCTATAGGTGTCAAAAAGCACAGGTTGATCTGCTACCCCTGTGAAAATTTGCTTAAAAAAACCCCAAACACAAAGGGACACACTTAAAGAGCCCTTTATTACAACCGTTATTGCAGCTTATCAGCTATTTAAAAAGAACACACCACATGCAGGGCAGCTGCAGACTAAGAGTATGGGAAGCTTAAACTTCTTCCTCCTAGCTATTGTTTTGCCACGTCAGGGATTTGCCAGAAGTATCAAATAAAAATTTCACTGAGTTATTCCAGTTGTAGCCCCGTATCTTTCAAAGGCTGAGCAGAGAGAATGTGACACAAGTAGGACAGGACTTCATTCAGCTTGATACTTCAGCTGACTGTGATGAATACTCACATTTCAGCTAGCTTCATTTCTGCAGAAGTGGCACTCTGCTCCAAGCCTAGAGGAGGCACTGTGAAGTGCACGGCATGGTTGGGCAGAATTATGAGCAATGTGGATAAACACAAACTTAAAAAACAGCAATAAAAAAAGAAATTGGTAAGAAATACCCTACTGGGACAGAGGAGTGGTTCCTCCAGCCTCATGCTCCCTTTCCAAAGGTGGCAAAGAGACACACTACTCAGAGAAAGTACATGAAACTGGCTGGTTTATGTAGTCCATTCTCCATGCAATTCTTCAGCACCTTAAACTGTTACAGCATGAAATTTAAGGCTACATTCCTACCTCTCCCTTCTAGCAGCCATTTATGGACCAGATGTCCAAAAATTCACCTAAACCCTTTCTGAACCTGCCTCCACAACCTCCTGTGATAGACAGCACCAGAATTTAGTGGCCCACTGTTTAAAGAAGTACTTTTAGCTATTTTTGTTTACTCTCTTCCTAGTTCCAGAAAGTGCCTCTTGTTCCAGCACTGCAAGCTTTGCTGAAGAACTGCTTGTATTCATCTTGACCACGAGCTTCATGATTCTGTACGTCTGAATCACGTCTGTCCCTCAAGCAGAGGACTATCAGCCTTTTGTCACAAAGAAAGAACACAGCTCGTACAGTTTGGGAAGCTCCTTTGTACAGATGCCAAGCATGAAAGCTTTACTACTTCAAAGCAATCACAAGTATTTGGAGGCACTGCATAAGGACTAATCTAAAGACCACAGAAAAATTGTATCTGGCTCTGGTCATCTTGTCACTTATCTTTTTGGTCATATTATCCTAAATCTCTCAACAGTGTAATTAAAATTAAAAGTACAAAGATGGAAATCTGCACCTCATGAGGGTGGTGAGACCCTGGCCCAAGCTGCCCAGGGAAGCTGTGGATGCCCTGACATTGGATGTGTTCAAGGCCAGGTTGTCTGGGGCCTTGAGCAATCTGGTCTAGTAGGAGGCGTCCCTGCCCACGGCCGGGAGGTTGGAACTTGGTGATCTTGAGGGTCGCTTCTAACCCAAACCAGTCTAGGACACTATGAATTTGGAGATAGAAGGTAGACAGCACACGTCTGCTGCTGAACATCTGGCAGGATCTCAAACAGAAATGAGGAGCTCTAGATCTGATTTCTGACTGTATCCACCTAGGCAGTCTGACACCATGTTTTCCTAATGGACTTCAGAGTCACTGTGGCAGTTCATTTTCGAACAGCAAACCCCATTTCAATTCATCACCCCTAACTTTTGCCTTTAAATTGACACACTAATACAAGGAGTTTTGATCTTTGTTACTGAAGAATCATGCTCTCCTACACC